CAGCATATTCCAAGAAACTTATGTTTAAAAGGAAGCAGATATTCACAAAGTGCAATTACCAGAGACTTTGTGAATACGGGTCATTTCATCGAGATTTCTAAATCTTTGAAAATATTAAGCATACAAAGGACAGAAAATTTACTAAGATTCTCTGAAGCAATCGCAATCAAGCGTTACAAATCAAGCTTATGCATACAGAAAGACAGTGTAATCAATCTCTCACTCCCTTAGTAACTACATTTTGATTAAACTGATCAGTCATCCATATCAGTAATTTCAACTCACTGAGAAAGTTTTCAGTTTTATAAACTATAACCTTCTTGAGCTTCCAAGTAAACCTACATGCTAATACTGTTTATTGGATTTTTCTGTTTTGTCTTCTCTCCCACCCCTACTTTTCTATTTTGAAAGCATATAAACTGATGGTAAGTTAAACCGAAATTATAATGACTATATTTCGGATGTGTTGATTTTATAATGTTTTCTTTACTACTATTCAAACATTAAGGTATGTTATTGTCACTATTTATAACCATTTTAATTTCAAGTAGCTTTCATCTGATGAGATCCTGTGGAATACAATGATATCATTTTATAGTGCAAATCTGATCTTTTTTCTCTATTGAAAAATGAATATTACACATAAAGTTACCTTAAAATGAAACCTGTGAGGGTGAACTGTGTAATATTTCACTACTTGCGTAAAAGTTACACTATAGTAATTCTATTGTGGGTGAAATTTATTTCATTAAAGTCTCAGTGTTATACAGTAATATTTACTGACGATGTTTCGAGCACAATTTATTGTTCATAATCGTATCATATCACCTTGATATGATTATGAGCAATAAATTGTGCTCGAAACGTCATTAGTAAATATTACCGTATAACACTGAGACTTTATTAAAATAAATTTTACCCATAATGGAATTATACTCTACCACAGTGCACAAGTTTTATTGTTATATCAATTACACTGTAGTAATCATTTTAAATAGTCGGGCATTTTACCAATAAACATCGCGTTTACGTGGAGATAACAGATAACTAAGATCTACTCCAGTAGTCTTAAGATCCCCTCGAAACAAATAGGGTATTAGTAATGGAAGATGGTCGTGTTCAACTACGCGTACTGTTGTATTTACGTAAGAGGAATGTCAAAACTAAAGACTCAAATAACTGCATAAATTTTTATCTACTTCAATCCTTTTATCATTGATATAAGAATAAAACCTGTGCACTGTGGTAGAGTGTAATTCCATTATGGGTAATCATGATTATGAGCAATAAATTGTGCTCAAAACGTCATCAGTAAACATTACTGTATAACACTGTGAGACTTTATCAAAACAAAATTTACCCATAATGGAATCAATTCTTTTAGACAATCACGTAATACAATCCATAGATAGTTGTTTTTTCATATATTTATTTATTTATTTAGACGCATAAAAACGTGGTACAATATGGCACCAAGAAGGATGCGCTACACAATAATAATAAAACAACATAAATCAAAAGGAAAAAGAAGAGAAAAATATATGTAAGTATAGAACGGATAAAGAACTTCATCTGGAAGGAAAACAGTCATGCTTAACAAGTTCAAACAGTATTCGTTAACTATCACCGGGAAGGGAAGAAAGAAGGAAATCGCAACACGTGTAATGGCACGCGATAAGTTTCATTGATCGTTTGTTGCTTTATTCAATTCATTGTGTGAGGGCTGAGATACTGCCCGGGCGTCCAGACCGAAGCAGGTGGTTTTATTAAGGGACCACCCCCCGAGCCTTTGACTTGGAGTCTAATCTGTAAGGCAGCGGAGCAGCGTCAGGAGCTGCATTCCCATGGTTGACGGTGACCCATATGGGTTCATACGCCATTTGATCCGATTGGATACTGGAGCCCATGTACCCCATGGTAACTGCTTTTAGTTTAACCGCTATCCAAACAGCCTTCCTGACATGGTAGGACCTGCAGGGACAGAGCCCCAGTCAGTTTAGCTTGTTGGGTCATTACGGTATTCAAGTCCGACCACCACGACAAGGTAGCAGTTATCGCCCGGGTGTTTTTTCATAACCTGAATATTTTGTGTAGTGTTAACTACCTAATTTCATTAAGCACATTGAGCCTAAGACATCATTACGCACAAATCACGCTATTTTAATCAGTAGACATAATATTCAACACCATATATTTGTATACAGTGAAAATGTCCCTAAATTGTCTGGCAGCCTCATAAAAGCTTAGGATATCTCATTCTTAAGTTATCTATGAAGGAAGTATTTTTTATCTTCACCTAACCTTAACTTTGACGACCTACCATTATTTTTTTTATTACAGCTTGATTCCACACTGTATATTTGGTACAAGTATGGAATTTTCAGCATGGATATCGGTAGCCCAAATTTCGCAGGCCGACCATAGATATCAGGTGTGCGTCGGTGCGGACTCGAACCCCAGACCATGTGCATGGTCGGCGAGAGTCCTAACCACTGTCACCGACGACTTATAATTACATTGATGATAAAGCATTGATGTTACTGCAGTAACACTAGTTGGAGGTTATGTGTTACTAGTATCCATTTTTCTGGACAAATTCACTTAGTATTTCGGTTTTTGAGATTGATATCATGAAGTCAGCAGCATAATCCTCCACCAACCTTCACTAACATACAGAAATATACCATGAAATAAAGTTCTTAATCTGAAGCCTTGTAATGAAAGTGGAAATTTCTGTTGGTATGGTTCACCGAAAAATAGATTAAATTGCATTATCTGTCTTGTTGTGAACTTTTCTTATAATACGTATCTAATCATATTCATATCTCCACCGCTATTAACACTCTTTTTTCCCTTTATACGTTTAAGCCATTCCGGCTTCATTGTAAAATGAATATAGCCTAAATTCTTGGTTCATTCGTCTTTTCAAGATTCAAGCATCACTCATCGTTCTAAGACTCAGTCACCTTCGTAACATGACTTAAACTAACGGTGAGCGGATGCATGTATGAATAGCGACTTCTCATAAAAGTAGTCGCTGTTTTATCTAGTGTTTACTAAGTGGACCTTAAGAATAAGCTACTATAACACTGAAAAATACCAGTTTGCAGTGTTTTCTCACCTGAAACAGTACACAGTTCTTTATTGTCTGCATTAGCGAAATCACTATGTCTGTACCACTGTAGGCTAACTAAATGGTTACGCAGTACACCGCTATATTGGAGCATAAGAGCATAACTGAATCCCTGCTAACTGCAGTTCTGCGGATCTAAATAATACATACCCACATACGATGTGAACATGAAAGGCATTGTTTTAATTACTTAAACAAATGAATAATACTAGAAGAATAATGAACACCCATAAGCTCAATATTTTCATCTGTTAAAAGTGTAGTCTAACTACATATAGAAAGAGGACAGTAAAAGCTGTTTATAATCTTATTATAGAATGCATTCAAACTGACTGCTTCTACACCTCTATTAGCTCCACGATGAAACAATTAAATCCAGTTTGTGCAATTAAATCCCATTCTCTCAGCTAGAAAAATTGCTCAATTATATAAAAATCACTTCGTAACAAGCAGACAAAAAAATCAAACACCATCTCAATACCTAATACTTCAAAACTATATTTGATTATTTTTCGTTGCTAACGACTAATCCAATAGATCTAGTTTTTCATAAGTTATTTGAAATAATAATCCCAATAATAAAGACATATCTCAACAACTGTATACATCATTATATAGAGGAATGAGAAATGTGTTATGATAAAGCTAATAGCAGCACACCCGCCTTATCAAACTCTAACAGATGAAACCAACTTAAGCAAAGTGTAAAACGGTGACTTATGGACATGCATAGAACAATACGTTTCTACTAAGTCAATTGCTAATCATAGCACGGAAATCCCTATAGAATAGGAAATGAGATATACGTAAATCGTAATGTAAAACACTTCAGTAAAAATTTACCAGCTCGATTGTAATAATCACTCATGCGAGCCCCTGCTAACTACAGCTCAAGGACATAAAAAGTAGTCCTGCTAAAGCCAATTGCAAGCACGAGAGGAATGTAAGAAACTAATGAAGAATAAAGCTCAGTAACACTTTACGGAAACCGATATCAGCATAGCGGAATTAAGCGGTCATTGATTTTCACAGTTGAAGTGCTTCAGAAGTAAGAACTAGAAGAGATATTCAAGATTTTAAATAGCTATGTTTTTTCTGCTAATTAAGAGCGAAAGTTTAGGAAAAACAGATGAAATGATGACGGAAATTTTATCGAACCGTCATCAAACTTGAAATTAGGAAGCGACAATAAAAGCATTGATATTCAGGGGATTATAACTCACTGAAAAACAAGCACATAAATGACAGCCATCTAATATAGTTATACGGACTCAGTTCAGATAAATGATAATTTAATATATTTTCTCAGCATAACTAAAGGTTGATCTTGGTTTATTAGATCATAGTTTCGAAAACAAACAGTACTGTATTTATTTTACTAGTCTTCCCAATTACTTTTCGTAGCCTTTAGGTGCTCTTAGAAGCGTAGGGTCAGCTATTCTACAACAGCACCACATACTATGAAATTATTGTGTCAAAACAAGGTAAGTTACGCTCACAATCGAATTATTGGTCTGAAAAGTGGGCATTTATTGAGAAGTGATGGAAAGAAGATACGGCAAGAAACCAGTTAAAACCAGATGAAATTAAATAATAGGACTTCAAGGGCATCAAACTTCCGAAGACAACCAAGATGCAAGGATATAAAAATGTCAGTGGCATAATTTACTGCAGACATATCTATCAAAAGTTAAGCCGTGGCTACAGCTCATAATGTCACCTTAATTTTTTGATCGGGTGTATCATAATTAAACCCTACTTAAACTTACTTCACCATGGTATATCTAACAATACTTTTGTCATTCATGATAAACTTAGCAAAATACATATCAAGTTGTGAAAAATCAACGACACACAAATCACTTACTGTTCACGCTTAAACTGCAAAGAGTGTACTATCTCCGGGTTCTTCTGCCTTATGTTCCATAAATGAGCAACGTCGTCACCACATATGGAAACCAGACCACCCTTTATGAATTAAAAATAAAGTTTTCATTAAAATTGCACGGTTTATTATTATTGGGCTCTACATCCTACACAATTTAAAAACAAGCCGCTGTAAGACAATTACTAGGCCATTTAATTACACTTAAATCAATAAAAATCAAATTATAACAAATTATAAACTCCAGAAGTAAGTACTTGCTGACATCCTTTATTGTCATTTTTGTATTCAGAGATAAATACTGCTATTCGGTGCTCATGGGGACATCACTGAGACTGCATATCTAATTCACACTGCTGCGTTATGAATTATAATTTCCGATAACCAGTACATTTCATGTCGTTAGTATAAAACTCAATTCAGACTGCTTGAACCTAAAAAACAAAATTCAACCAAAATTGTCCTTTGTCGACCCTAGTTGCAAGCCACTTATTATGTATTTATCTTGTATGCGGACGTGAACTTTACAGAAGCTCAAATCGAATGCCATCTGGAAACTTTAGATAAGTACAATTATTACTTATGCAAACACCGTCCCACATCTAATCTGACATCCAAAAAAACATACGAATAACTTGTGGCCAGCAAAACCGAGTGAACGAATGCCGTTCATTTAGTTCACATTAGAAAAATTTGAGAAGTTGCGTATGTTTAATAATTACGTCTAACTCACCTCATTAACAAGGAAAAATATCTGGAAAACAGAAGATGCTGACGGGTGACATATATTGTAGTCCACTCCTGGTCTTCCAAAACTATGTGCGTACTATATTTCACTGTAAGCAACTTACATTCTGATACACCCAGACTTGGTTCCAACAGCAATAATTCGCTGCACTGGGTCAAAAGCAATACATGTCGGTTGGTAAGGAAAACCATGTGAAGATATCTAAAATACAAAAATTGTCGGATATTAACAACACAAAGAGAAAAATTCGTTTATATTAAAAAATCGAGAGAAGAATTTACCTTTCCGACTTGGAAATGATCACTCTTTAGGTATTCTTCTATGTCAATCGCAGACTTCGTTGAATTACTGGACTGACATGAGCTAATATTCCACGAACGAATTCCATCTATAACTTTCAAGAGCTTTTTCGACTTCGCTGCCATAGGAAATGAAGTTTAGCGGTTCAGATTCCCAAGCAAAAAATAAAACGGTTTCGGCATCATACGGAACCCAGCGCCAACAAAACCCTAAGGACTGTGAAAGTAATTGATACATTTAAACAAACAATGTAAGCACAGATTTTCTTTAAAAGTCCGAGCGTTCAAATCAGTCATATTCGTCATTACCGCAGTTCTCCAATTACAATTCTTGGGAAACATAAAATCTCTTTGAAGGACTTACTTTATTGGAGAAATCAAATGCGTCGGTGGCACAGTGGTTAGGACTCTCGCCGACCATGCACATGGTCTGGGGTTCGATCCCCTGCCGACGAATACCTGATATCTATGGTTGGCCTGCGAAATTTGGGCTGCCGATATCCATGCTGAAAATTCCATACTTGTACCAAATATACAGTGTGGAATCAAGCTGTAAATCAAAATCAAAAGAAAAATCAAAAAAAAATAAATAAATAAAGTAGGAAAGTCAAATTCAAGCTGAATTTTAAGAAACTGAGTTTTAGATCAAATTAATCCGGTCACATCCTCAACGTAGCCATATTACCTCAAGAAGTGATGCTACCCAGCTTAGTGGCAGCTATACTCAGAAAACGGGGAATAATCCTGATGGATTGGTGGTCACTGTGGCAGAATCCCAATCGTCATTATTGCCGCCATATGTGCTGAGCTAAAAAGCTGAGAAGTATAAAAACTCATTAAACCGACTAGAATTACCACTGCAGAAACCACAACTTTTTAGCATATTCTCCATAATATTATGGATAGATTGCACTTTTTCTCATATAAATTACGGCTGGGTGACCAGACTGCTAAGGTGCTTTGATTACCACACGAAGTTTTCATCCAAAATGACTGAATCCTCACTAATTTCGCGGTATGTTTTTATTCACCATGGGTGTTAGAGGTAATAAATCTACAAGGTATGCCCAGCTTTCCACGCATATATTATCTCAAAAAACAGCGGTATACAGCCACTTGTCTGAACCGATAGAGTTTACCATAAGTCCATATGCTGCCCTCCGCAAGCATGTTGAATTCGTTACAACTGGGTGATTAATTATTGGTCGAACTTTTCGTATAAATGAAATGTCATAATAAAAGACAGGGTTTACACAGATACCGAAATGGCATGCATCACAGCAACGCAGACACATGCTTTTGGATTGCATGAGGCTCACTATCAACGGTCTGACTGCTAAAGTTTGACCATCAGAATAGAATTCTGTCAATGTGTAATTTAAGTTGGACTAGTTGCAATGTACATCATACAACATGGCATAAGAAGGCTATTATTGGTTGTGCAATACTGGCTTTAGGCCAGGAAGTTTTACTAATTGCATAAATAGGCTGAAATTTGACAATCAGTTGAGATGAGTGAGGCGTGCTTTAGCACTCCCAGGTGATAAACCAACAGTTAATGTAAGGTATATAGATGATTTTATCAGACTTGACGTTTAAACAACCAACAATGAGTAGCATCTCGGCCTGTGAGACGCCTTACAAAAGAATGTATTACTCATGGAGTATCCCTTTAGCATGATCCAAATGTTGGTGTCCTGGAAGGTAGGGGCACAACCTTGATCTACTTCACCACTATCATAAATACTGATCATAGTGAGTAGGCGTGGTTTCTTTAGGAAGGCTTTCGTCAGCACTGAAGCATTTAGACCACTGGAGATAATATTAGAAGCCTTAATAAGTCTGCCAACAATCTCACTACTCTACTGGCTTGACTGCGTTTCAACCCAGTAATTGTAGTGTTTTTGTTTACTGCTCTGATAATTTAATGACAGGTTGTATTGTTTACATGCCTTTTTAATGAAATTTGTCAATGAAAATCCCCCTTTATAATGTGCTTCAACTGCGCTACATATGCTGCGATTGTGGCAGGAAATATTGCGGTCAAGTAGAATAAAGGAGGTAGTAGAATAACAGTTAAACGTGAATCTGTGCATTCTCATTGCATAATGCTAGTTTATTTGTCCTACTTAATAAAACGCTATTGTCTTCACTGGTTGTGAGCATTCATCGCATATTTCCAGCATTGTCTTCCATTTTCACGCGCTCAGTACAGTCCACTATTTGTTTTAAGACACAAAAGATTAGCACCATGATCACACTGTGATGTATTTCAGTAAACCTGTGTTTCGAACAGAATTTATTTTGGGGAACGATTTAGATTCCGATTTTGATGTGGTTTTGTTCTCTGAGCTGGATGGTTAATTTGCGAAGCTTTCATCACCCTACTGGGTGACATCTTCAGCGCATACTTCAATTTAGATTCCATATGAATCCGATTTCACAAGCATTACTTGGGCTCATACGGGAAAGATTATTATCTTAATCGCAATAAGACAACGCTGTCTGGGAGTGGTGAAGAAAATGTGTAGGCCCATAAGGAATTGCATTTGACGTGGAGGCTTCCTGGTGAAACTTAACAATATATGTTTCGCTGGGTGAGGTATGTAGGATAAGTTAATTGATGAGGTAGTGAAACTAAAACGGTTGCAGTGGCTCAGACACGTACTGCGCGTCTCAAGCCATCGCATTAGCCGACGTGCAGCGTTAAACGATGTATGCTCAGGTTGAAAGGAGTAAGGATTTGACTAACCAAGGTCTAGCATTAGTTCATGAAGTCGTTGACAGTTAATCCGAAGACATACTAGGAATATGATTGGAAGTCGTCATCAGTAGCACAGATACATCCACTCTATAATCGCCCATATCCATCCAGCCCTCATTTTGTCCAGGTTACTATTCTTTCTTACGTTTCGGTTCACTATATCCGCGTCCAATTTATTTTTCCCGTCTTTTTTATCTACCTTCATGTGCCATATGGAATGTGGCTACTTAAATCGCTGCATTTCCGTGCCAAGCTCTATGTTGAAATTCAATCAGAAAAACTTGTCGCAACAGCCGCCTTGTGTTACATTGCACTTCAATGTTAATTGGTTTAGACACTTATTTGCCCCGTTACCTAAGTGCTGCACTCATTTACCCTACTCCTTAAATTGTACAGATCACGTGAATCGAAAAAGAAACAGTGAACCAGAAGTCGGTAACGCGGACATAATAAATAAAAAGAATCGAAGTGAATGAGATGATCTGCATTTTGTTGTTCGTGTAGCACCCTTATCTTAATTAATTATTGTAAGCATTACAACACATCCCCTACTTGTTTGACTTTTGTTCCCCTTATCTCAGGTTATCCGTCTTCGTAGGCATTCCATAACTAGTTATATACATTGTCCACAATCAGCTTTTCAGTGTATCTGCATCCCACAATTTTTTAGATTCAAAGCCTTGAATTTGCTTACATTAGATCGCACTACACTTACTTTGCTGATGCAGTGGTATAAAAAAGTTGTACATGTTTCTGGGAGGCACATTTGTGAAAATGTTCCTTACATAATGATTGCAATACTTCTGATAAATCTTCTTCACTATCTTATCATTGCGTTCATACATGCGTATCTATAAGAAAAAAGTTGTTCTTGTCGTAATAGTCTTCAAAAATACGTCCAATAAATCCTGATACTTCTGGCTAGTGCAAGGCATGACCTGTGATCTACGAAATACGTTTTCAAATTAGAGCAGTTGAATAGATATTATTGAAAGTGGAATTTATCGGTAAACTCAATGATTTGAGTGTAACACAGCACCACTTGCCAGCAAAGTATTGCTATTGTTGGGAAATTTCTGCTGGCACAATCACAATTATTGAACTAAGCTTCCGCGAAGTATATAAGTGGTGTTGTGAATTGTGAGACCGAAAGGCTCGTGAAATGCGACAACTTGAACAGGCTCACCTGTATAGATGCATGAGAGTATTACTTCACGAAAAAACTTGAGGTTACTTCAACACTTCATCTTCAGTTAATTTCACGAGTCCAAACTTGTAAACCTACAGACATAATTTTTGTCTCACGGTACACAACGACATCTAGAAGCCCACTGTATTTAGTAGACCTATTTTTACTTCGTCAGTGCCTATAAACTGTGAGTCGGCTGGTGTTGCGGTGGTAGGAAAGACAACTCAAAATGCTTTGTCAGTCTGAAAATTTTCTTGCTGATGTGAGCACATTTACTTTATTTTACGAAAGATAATATTTTACAAGGAAACATCAAGGTATGTGCACGTTTACTTAGTAATTCAAGTATAAAAGTAAGTGACATGTTGATAAATGAATCAAAGGACAAGATTATTAGTGAATCGGCATTTTGACACGCTTATTTTGATGTATTTGAATCACCTGACATGAGTTCCAACGAAACATTTTTCTCACAGTAAGAATCATTGTACTTGTTGGTGCTAGCATCTGAATGATATTCTCACAGTTCATTTCAACATTAGCAACAGAACTGTACATGTATTTTAACATTCTATTCCATGTAATTTAATGTAAAACAAAATCACACACTCAATGATTGGTCAAAGAATTTAAAATGTATAGATATAAATAGCGGTTCGATCACTCAAAAATAAACCTTGACTCCTGTGTCTTGCCTCCTGCTGTTACAGCGGTTTCAGGAGAGTTCTTAACAGTCATCTTCAAGTTGGCCTGCCTGATTTAGTTTTATTCCAAGATATGAATATACTAGTAGGCTGATTCTGCCTATACGTGCATTCCCATTTACTGTTACATCTTTGTAATTATTCATCAAGATGTCGCTTAAATGAATAAAAAGTTGCCATTTCTTCTGAATGTATATCTGTAACTGTTCGTATGTAAATGACGCTAGAAAAACAACATATTCAATGATTTCATTTTCTAGGCATCAATATTTCACAAAGGCGTTTCTTTCGAATTTACCGGGGATTTATTAAAACTGACTGCTGCTTCAGTATTTTTCGTTATATACTGTGAAAGCAGACAATTCGACAAAATCATAAGTCACAGCATTCATCACTCAATAATGAATGCTAACTCTCACGATCAAGTATCCACACCATTCGATACGCCATCATGTACGTTCGGTTGTCCATAGACGATAATTAGCTACTAAGGCAATCGCACCAGCACTGCGAGTTTGGTCCCGAAATATGCTCCACATTCTATACGACCAATCCGGTGTTTTGCTTTGTCTTT